CTTTGTTTGTCCTCATATATATATATATATATATATCTCTTTTTTATATTTGTATATATATAAATTTATATGTTATAAAACATCTGTTTTTATCATTTCTGGCACAACTTTTAAACCCCTGTCTGACTCATCTTACTACCCGAGTTTGCAGTGGGAGCGAGTGGAGTGGACAGTGCGGCTACATCTTACCTACCTGAGATTGCAGTTTGCAGAGGGACTGAGCGAGCGGAGGAGACACTCTAGACAGTGGCATTACTACTGTAAGTAAACTTTAATTGAAGCTTTTGAGTAAATTATATGTATGTACCCAGGATTACAGATTGCATATTGTGCGTACAAGAATAAAAATAAGTAATTTTAATTCTAGTTTTTCAGTCCATGGCTTACTAATATACCTAAAGGCCAACTAACCAGAATAAGAAGAAACTGTACGGATCAAAAAGTCTTTCTGCATCAGAGCCAACGAATTTTGTCGGATTTTAGAGAGAGAGGCTATCATGAGCATATTTTAAATAAAGCTGTAGAAGATACCCAGTATTTAAATAGAGATAATCTTTTGGAGTATAGAACGAAAGAAAATAATAAGAAACAAGAAAATGGTGTTCCCTTTATTTGTCAGTTTTCAGGTCCTCAGAATAAATTAGTTAGGAAAATCATCTCGGAACATTGGCATTGGCTACTAAAAGATCCAGTTTTAACTAAATTGTTACCACCTATCCCAAAAATAGTACATAGAGTGGTGAAAAATATGAAAAGAATTTTAACAGATCAAATCCCAAATAAAAATCAATCTAAATTTAATTTTATGAATCAATTGAAGGGATTCTTTAGGTGTGGTTACTGCAATGCCTGTCGTAATACGGATAGTTGTAAACAGAACATTAAAGAATTTAAAGCCAATGGAAACACATACAAGATAAAAGAACTCATAACGTGCCAAACGAAAAATGTAATTTATATGTTATTTTGTCCATGTGGCTTGAGATATATAGGCCGTACGACTAGACAGTTAAGAACCAGAATATGTGTGCATACATATAATATTAAAAGAAAATATCAACTACACCAAGTTTCCCTACATTTTGAAGAATTCCATAATTCTGACCCCTCTCTTTTAAATTTTATAGGGATTCAACAGGTTAAAAGTGACTGGAGAGGAGGAAATTTGATCAAGAATTTAGGTCGTATAGAAATGAGATGGATATTTGAACTGAATACTCTAATTCCTAATGGAATGAATAATGACTTTGAGATCTGTCATTTTTTATAAATTTTTCAGCCATTTTTATTTTAATTTTTATTTTTATTTTATTTTAATTATCATTATTTTTATTTTTATTTTTAATTTATTTTTATTTTTATTATTATTATTATTTATATTTATTTTTATTTTTATTATTATTTTTATTATTTTATATATTTATATTTATTTTTATTTATTTTATTTTTAGTTTTATTTAAATTTATTTTTATTTTTATTTTTATTTATATTTATTTATTTTTTCTTTATTTTTCTTTATTTTTATTTATTTATTCTTATTCGTACATATTTAATTTTTGGGAGATATATTTCTTCTACAAAAGTTCAGATATCCACTCAGAGTACACCCTTTCACTATGTCACTTTGTTCTATTTTGATATTATCACTGTGTCACTTTAAGAGTCATTATTATTGCAAAACCATAGAGGCAAATTACATTGATGGTATTGAATATATACTAACTATATGCTCTCTTTTCTTTCCCTCCATGTATTATATGTGATGATTCAGCTAAGATTTAATTTAGACTGCATAATTTTAATTATTTTAATTACTGTATTTATGGTATGTATAGATTTGTTGATAAAGACAGACATTTCTGTTGGAAACATATGATGTCCATGTATCAATGGTGCAACAATTGACTTGCTGATCTGAATCCCATATATATGTAAATGTGATGCACCTAAAAACAATCAACATAAATAGGAGAATGTGTATAAAAACTCCCCGAGAATGGGGAGGGACTAAGCACTTTGACGTCCTGACGAAGCCGTCTGTGAACGGAGAAACGCGTAGACAACACGGAAGCACGTTGAGAAAGGGGGCGGAGCCTATTTGGAAGCCGGGCGTTCTGAGAGCGGTAAAATTGAATTACACGCTGAACTGAACGGCACCCGAGCGGCAACACAGAGGAACTCCATCAGACCTCCCTCAACCCCTCAACACAGGAGACATCTCCCAGTGTGGGAAAGCCAGACTGTGAGTAAACGGGCACACATACCGTTATACTCACCAACAATTCTAGTAAGCAGCCATTTGCTTTGTAGCCATCTCTAGACATTTACTATGTGATGCATAACGAGCTGTCTTGTGTCATATTAACTTAACAGTGATTTGCCCTGTATCTGTATTTTAATTTATCTTGTTTTTAACTTTGATATCTGTTTTATGATTGTAATAAACTTGTTAATATCCAGCTGATTTGACAAGTATATGTGATCTCTAGCACTATTCATAGAAGTGCAAGTTAATATAACAGATCTGTTCTATGATCATTTTATTTTCTTCCTTTTGTATATGCTGAATAACAATTGGGACATCATTGAGCAAGAAATACAATAAGTATATTTTATCTTGCTAACTGTACTTCATGTGGGATAGGGGTGTATTGCAGTTAAAGACCGCTCCACTTCACAATATAATAATTCTAGTTTATGTTGGTAATGGATTCAGCAACTTTTATACAGGTCATAGGTCAGGGCACACATTTAAGTTTAATGAAGAAGTTTTGGTATATAAAGCATGCCCTTGCAGTTTAGGAGTTAAAACTCTTACTGGGGCATTGCTTGTAGGCACAAAGACCAGAGGCTTTTATTATTAATTATTCAATAACCCAAGTATTTCTGATTTGAAACTGTTAATATCAAGAAAATGGTTACTGTGCACAATGTATGTTGCAAAGTTACATTAGAATGCCATGACAAGACAATTTAAAATTCATAACATGCAGTCTGCTATGACACTTTAAAACACATCTCTTCATATTATTAATGTTATTAATTCATCCATGAAGAGATGAGTTTTATATTGTCATGGTAAAATGCATATAATGAATGTTACATTGTCATGGCAGTCTATTGCAGCTTGCGCAGCAGCCATTTTCTTTATTGGCGTGAACAGTTCCAAACCAGTAGGGATCTGCATGGGAAAAAAATTTGGTTCGGTACGTCCGAAATTTAGGATTTTGGCAATTCGAGACTTCGGTTCTGTTTGGCACTTCTGAAATTCGGGCCTAACCATAATTTACATTCGGTACGGAACTAATTGCACATGTCTACAAACCAGAAATATCTGGGATATTGAATAATGACAGGTTAAAACAGACAGGTTCAATGATAGGTTTTTATAATAATGACCATCATCCATTGTTAACTCTCCAAGTCATTCAGTCACATTAACATTGTCCCCAACCCACATCAATTGTTGAAGTGAGTGCTGATTGGATGTGTTGGGGTAAATAATGCTATACTGCTAGTGTGACCGAATGTCTTGGAGAGTTAAAAAATGGACGGTGATCATTATTAAAAAAAAAACAAAAAAAACAGGGGAGTGTCACGTATTCATCCGCACATTAAAATGTGGTTAATGGCATTTACTGTCCTGACAGGAAAAGTTGTGCCGAGCAACATTAGCGTCCTGACAGGAAAAGTGCTGAGCAGCAATCATGCACATGGAAACCTGGTAATTACTTTTGGGGTCAAAGGCCAGCCATGGTCAATCAAATCCACAGGAGGGTTTGTGCTGAGCAGCAATCATGCACAGCATGGTAATTGCCTTTGGGGTAAAAGGCCGGTTACAAACAATCAGATCCACAGGAGGGGTATTTAAACCCAATTCTCCTCTTGCTCATAGCCCTGTCTTGGTTTCATGCCTATGGTTATCTGAACTTGATTTGCTGATATTTTACTTTGGCTTTGTTTTGACTTCCCTGATATCTGGTATCCTTGACTTTTGGCTTTCCCTCATCTTTGTGTCTGATTCTGTGTCCCTGACCTCGGCAAGTATTTTGTCTATTCTTGGAGAAGTTTAGTCTGGCCATTGTAAGGTCCGGTTAAACGTTATCCTTAGTCCTAGGTGTGACACAGTACTGCGTGCTGGATCAACTTGTAATCCTGACAGGCAGATGAGATTTATGTTTTGAAAATGCCCATCATCATCCATTTTTAAAACACTTAAAGTCATTTAGTCAATTTACTGTGTTCCCCCCATGCAGACCACGCACACCTAATTGATGGGGGGAGTGCAAATGGGACTGAAAGACTTTGAGTACTGTGTCATCTCTGTCCTCAGTTTGTAAGTGCTATCTATGTCCCCAAACAGCTTGCCGGTGTGGCGGTGCCTTCTCTGTCCCCAAACAGCAAACAGGTTATGCATGAGGAGCAAATATAAAACCCCTTTTTATGTGTGTCCAGTATATGAACAGTGTATTTTTAATTGTGTTTAAAATGCAATTTCCCTATTCAGAAATAATAATGGTGCAGTGTGCAGGTGCAAGTCCTGTCTTAGCAGTATGGGTGCAAGAGCAAGTCCAATTTATGCAATAATGTGGGTGCTGAAGAAGGGAATGAAAACAAGAAACGTTTTTATCACTAAAATTTTTATTCCATGTGAAAAAGGTTGCATATCATATTAAAAAGGTTTATATGTGTCAATGCAAATATATTATAAAGTGTTTGTGGTCAGGGACACAGAATCAGACACAAAGATGAGGGAAAGCCAAAAGTCAAGGATACCAGATATCAGGGAAGTCAAAACAAAGCCAAAGTAAAATATCAGAAAATCAAGATCAGATAACCATAGGCATGAAACCAAGACAGGGCTATGAGCAAGAGGAGAATTGGGTTTAAATACCCCTCCTGTGGATCTGATTGGTTGTAACCGGCCTTTTACCCCAAAGGCAATTACCAGGTTTCCATGTGCATGATTGCTGCTCAGCACAAACCCTCTATAAAATTATAAAGTGTGTGTGTATATATGTGTGTGTGTGTGTATATATGTGTGTGTGTGTATATATATATATATATATATATATATATATATATACACACATATATACACACACACACACACACATATGCACACACACTTTATAATTGCCCCCCTACTTTTATCACTGGCTCCCCCCTAAATATGAATGCTGGAGACGACACTGCAGGCAACTAAAAAAGCAGCATGTACGGAGTATCTTTTCAGGGCTGTGGTGGTTGATAAAGCCAGAACTGTTTATTCACTGCAGGCCCCAGCGTAATGTGGGAGGTTTTGATACTAAATGCCCGCTAATTGTAAATTAAGATTATCTATGCAGACAGTAGTTCTTTAATTCAACTCCTAGCCTAAAACCACATGAATTCTGAATAAAGCCTTGTTTAAAGAGGATGCATAAATCAGAGTATTTTTACATTTGCTGCCTTTAATTGGTTACTCTAATGTTTAATATATCTATCTATTGAAAAATTTGTTTCTGTTCGCTTGTCATCTGATAAAAACAGCTCTGTATTTTGCTGTGCTTCAGAAAGCATTATTCAGTGGAGTGGGAGATTGCTTGTAAACACCCATTCACGTAAGGTTTCAACATTCTGAATAGGTTATCATGGAAACCAACTAGCTATGTGCAAATGGCCTAATTGAAGTTCTTTTCAATTTAGAAACATTGAATCAAGTTCCAATAACCTTCTATATGGAACAACATCCTCTTTCATTTATGGATGATAATAGAAATATTTCATTGCAATGCAAATGTATGTATTTGACACCATTGTACTTTATACTTAAACTAGTTCCTCTCTCATCATTAAAATTTTATGAAAAAATATATATATTCAGATTGTACCCAGCATACATAAAAATCATGAAAAATAGCATACACCCATTACTTACAGTTTGCCCTACCACATATATATTGCTCCATCACAAACATGCTAGAATACACATTTACCCCTGCCACTGGTTCAAGTGTGATTTTGAGCGCAGCAACAAGGGTAGGGACATTGAAATTCAACAGAAGAGCGCTGCTGAAATTATAACACCGCCTTAAAGGAACCTTCCCGTGTTAGAAATAAATACCTGTCATGGTAGAGCTGTTTCATGCCAGTCTTGTGACAGAGCACTCTGTCTAACACATACTGTTCCAAGGCTGCATTATTCTGACATTATTATTCATGTGATACAAGCGTTTGTGCATTCTTGAACCTTTTATGACGTTTATCATCCATCTGTAATGAGTTGCAGGTCATTGCTGCGGCAACTCAACACAATTGTCGGTTGTGTTTCTTTGGCATCAGTGGTGTCATGAAACCAGCATTCAGCTGTTCACATATCCTCTTGCGCACAGTGATGATGCAAACCAACCACGTTTTAACTTGGGCTATATAAACCTCTCCTGTCTATGCTTATGGCTCTTGCTGGCCCAGTAGCACGACACTTTCAGTTACCTAAGTTTTGGTTTTGACATTGACCTTTTTTCAGATGTTTCTGATCTCTGAAGTCCTAACTTTTTGTCTTGTCTACTGTTTATCCTGTTGTATCCTGCCCTTGACATTGACTTGTACTCTGGCTATTCTATCTATTAAGTCCGGCCACTATAAGGAATAATAATGCGATCCGTCCTTCTCCCTGATGTTTTTTTTGCATGCCAGGGTTCCTAATTACTATAACAATTCCTTTACTGCATGTTTTAAATAGTATTTATAGTTTTTAGACCCTCGCACTCTTTAAAAAGAAAAAAAAAAGTCTATTTACCTGTAATCCAGCAGTGAGTGCATCTCTCACTGCAGCTTCATCTTCTTGAAATTCTGACTAGTGATGATAACCAAGCCAATCCAAAACTTCTAAAATAGATGACTAACAGTACACCCAAAGGTTAGGGTGAAGTACATATTCGGCTTAAGCAAGTTTCCATGGTGAAGAGTACATTGCCATCTGTCTGACTGAGAAAATGCAGACAACAAGTTTCCCAAAACTGGAAATCTGTCTGTGTTGGAGAGAGCCAAATCCAGAAGATCACTCAGTTTCTTCCCTTTGCCAAGGACTTTAAATTCATACCACTCATTGTGAATTGCATGCATACATTTGTCATGCATTTCAGGCAGTGAGAGTAGTTTCTGGAAATCACGAGCCTATGCTGTAATGTCATCAACCCCATAGTCTTGTAAGGCTGTTCCCGATGGCCAGGCAAAGGTATCAAACACTGCTGTGGAACATTTAATATTCCTCTGAGTCAGAAATCGCTCTTCCAGATATGTAACACCATGCTGAATCAATTTGTCTTTTTCATGTTGGATCGAAGAAGTTGCACTATGGCTGAGTCCATGCAACTATGTTTTTATACAGTCCTTTAAGTGATATTCCACTGATGAATCTCTCCTCATGCTGTTTTGGCACATCTTTGAGTGAGTTTAACAATGAAATAGTGTTTTTTCACATGCAACTCAATTGTGCTTAAGGAAATAAAGGGAAAGGTTCTTAATAATTTCAAGATAGTCAAGCAGAAAATGGAGCATGTGAACGAATTTAAAATTGTTTAGTTTCTTTAACAAACCATGTGCAACTGCAAAAGCACTGCCTTTTTCTGCAGCAACACTTTCAAGGTGGACTGTCACACATTTCCAGAGAAGTGCAGAGAGAGCACTGACTTTGCTTTACACCCATCTTATGTTATGCAAGTACTGAAATTTCAGGATTTTTGTCTGAAAACTATCAGCTACCTGCTTCACCTGTCTCTTGGGTAAACACTGGTAAAATTGGTACAGCTTCTTTAAAACTGAGTCAAGGCTTTCACAGAGCTTAAATTTAATCTGTGTGCGACACAGTGAATGCCAGTTACATGTGTGAGATTTTGCCGTATTTTCTGTACCAGTCCATTTTCAGCTCCAATCATGCTGGCAGCACCATCTGTACCAAATCCAATCAGCTTGCTTGAAGAAAGCCAATCTAAGAGGCTATGTGTCTTCAGGTGTTTAGTGATGGTTTCCAAGTACCCATCTGCAGTAGCCATTTCAAGAGGTAGGACTGATAGAAATACTTATTTAATCTTATTGTTCTTGACGTACCTGTCATACAATATTAGCTCTTCGACGTCGCTTTTATCAGTCGAACCGTCTAGCATCAAACTGACATATTTCGCCTCCTTTAGCTCCCAGATAAGTTCTTTCCTTATTACATTTGCAATATGTGAGATGAATGCCTTGCATCTCTTGTCATTTGCATACTCCTCTTTCACAGCAATCCCTAGCTTGCTAGTCAGCTCTAGCAAACCTTCAAAATCTTTATATGGCCTGTTATTTTTTGCACTATAATAAGCGACATTAGATAGAACATTCATGTGGTTGAACGTCCCTTGATCCATTTTCTTAACGGATGCAGCCAATGGCGTAGCTTCTGGAGCCAACAGAGCATGTTTTGCCTTTACACATTTTTCACGCTGGAGAGACTTTCCGTTTTTTTTCCAAGGTATCCAGTTTAAATGGCCCTGAAAACCCTACAACACACTTAGATTCTTGGTCAGCAATCCCAGGGAAGGAAGCACAGATCTCACATATGGCTATACCCATGTTATGGTCATATTTTAGCCACGTGAGTTCCTTGCACCAATCTTGCTTAAACTTCCTTTTTCCAGCATTTTAAGAGTGACTTGTTGAAGGGGACTCCTCTCCTGGTTGTTCTTCTCTTGTGCAGGTTGATTCTGCAGTAACAAGTTCCACTTCACTTTCCAAACAAGAGGTCTTTGCAAAGAAATTTGTCATCCGCAGTTGCTTTGCATCTTCTGACATGCAGCTTTTGCTGCATGCTTAATTTTTTGTAAAGTCACAAAGAAAAATGTTTGCATTTTAGTACTTGTTATTACTTCTGTAATGGCATGTTCTCCAAAAAATGGCTATTTTACATTTTTTTTTTTTTTAAAGCACAGCATTCCTTCTTGTAAGCAACCCTAATGTGTATCTTTACAGATGCACACAGGTTTGCTTCTCAGCTTTTGCCCATTCACCTTTTAGGATGTTGAAGAGCTTTCCAGGATGGCAAAGTAGATTAAAAACCATAAAATCAGTGAATCAGCCTGCACATGTCACATATATCGTACTTATGCACAACAGCAGTACGTTACTGTGCATTTTGGGATAAACAGATCCATGATCTTTGAAGAAAAAACAGAATGAGTTTAGTAATGTCTGGATGTAATATCCAGACTATACTAATCTAGTGAGTGGAGCGCTAAAGGTATAGATAGTACACTTACCCTAAAACAAGGTCTAAATCTTAGATGTACATATGATACAAGTAAGGGAAACAAAAAAAATGAAATAATATGGTGTAAATCCACAAAGGATGATGTAGTTTAAGTGATGTCACTGACCAAAGTATTCAATGATCTACTCGCTGCAAAATCTCGTGGTCACTACTCTATCCTAATTCTCCTTGACCTGTCTGCGGCTTTTGACACTGTTGATCATCAACAGCTTCTTCCCATCCTCCGCAATATCGGTCTACAAGATATTGCTCTCTCCTGGTGCTCCTCCTACCTCTTCCAGCGCTCTTTCAGTGTTTCTTTCTCTGGCTCTGCTTCTTCTCCCCAACTCCTCTCTGTTGGTGTCCCCCAAGGTTCAGTCCTTGGTCCCCTACTGTTCTCCATCTATACTGCCTCCCTTGGTAAACTCATTAGCTCCTTTGGCTTCCAATATCATTTCTATGCAGATGACACGCAAATCTACCTGTCCTCTCCTGATCTCTCCCCGTCCCTCTTGACTAGTGTCTCTGACTGCCTTTCTGCTGTTTCTAACAGGATGGCTGCCCACTTTCTTAAACTAAACTTGACCAAAACTGAAATTCTGGTCTTTCCTCCCTCAAGTGTTGTTACTCCTGTGTCTGTCTCCCTCCAAGTCAACGGTGCTACCATCAGCTCCACCACGCAGGCTCGCTGCCTAGGTGTTTTCTTTGACTCTGACCTCTCCTCCGAGCCTCATGTTCAATCTATCGCCAAATCCTGTCATTTCCATCTCAAAAACATTGCGCGCATCCACCCCTACTTAACGCCAGATGAGACTAAGGTGTTGGTCCATTCCACTGTCCTTTCTCGCCTTGACTACTTTAATCCGCT